TGTCTTCATGCAGGCAGCAGCTTTTTTCGAACGACGGCCAGCCTCTGTTTTGACAGGGGTCACTGTGGCACAACGCGTTGTGTGAGAGCGTGTTCAAATCTGAAGTGAGAGGAACTTGCTCCTCTTGTCGAAGATAGATGGACTGTCTGCTTGAGCGTCGGAGACGGATGGATGGGCAATGGCCAAGGAGAGTAGGGCATTTCCGGTGAACCCATTTAGGCTGGGCACTGCCGAGAGTAGTAGAGTACCGTCGTTCCCCGGAACACAAGGCACCCTGATAACGAATGGACACAATATGCTCTTGTCATCACTCCTTTCTGATGACACGGGCAAGATTATTAAAAAAAAAAATAAAAAATAAAAAATAAAATCCTTTTCGGTCCGGTGCACAGCCAAAATGAGGGTGCGTTGTGCTCGGGGATAAACGGTAGCTAGCGCATTTCTGTTTAACCAATTTTGCTAACTCGATCGCCCTCCTCTGCTATCATCCATCCTCTCTGCCTTGTACAACTCCCTACCTTCTCACTCACCTAGTGAGGGAGACGACTCGTCACGATGGCTCGAGGAGGGTTCCCCTCATCGTCTTTAGTGGTCGTCCTTTTTTTTTTAAAAAAAAAAAAAAAAAAAAAGCAAGGGCCCAGTGCCCAAGGCTCATATTATAAATTTGAATGCACCGCAGACACACGCGTCTCTCTTCCCATTATATAGGGCTGGAAGAGCCTCCGCCACTGCTCCCATGCTGTGGCTGGACTTGGCCTTTCCGTCGCCACCCCCCGTTCATCCTGATGTGTGATATTTACCCCCTCACACCTCTCACACCGCTCACCCCTCTCACCTCTCACCCCACTCGTTGCTCAATGTGTCTTCTTTCTCCGGAAGGGGGGGGTCAAGGACACGACGATTCGACTCCCCTTTCAGCCGGATTTCGATTCCTCTTCTGCCCGCCAGGACACGACGATTCGACTCCCCTTTCAGCCGGATTTGGATTCCTCTTCTGCCTGCGCCCTGCGCTACTCATGGGTAAGCAGCGCATGCGATGCGCTGCGATGCTATGCTCGGGGCGCCATCGACCGAGTTGTTGCCATCGAGTATACAACTCTTCTGTCTCCTTTGTGGACTCGACCCCCCCCCACCCCCCACCCCCCGACAGGAAACCGACCGGCGGGAGGAATACCAGATGCTCGGTCGTAGTCGTTTTACAAAGGGTTCGGAGTCAGCGGACGACTTCCTGATGGGAGTCAGCGTGGTTGATCTGAGCAGTTAACTGAGGGTTGGAACGGAGTACTTGACCGAGTGTTGGGTTGGAACGGAGTACGTAACCGAGTGTTGGATGGATTGGATCACTTGACCGAGAGGGTTAAGAGTGAGCGTATGCTATCGTATGAAGACGAACAGGGTTTGGCCTCACTCTCTGCCTTTTGCGCCCTCCCTGGTCTCGTCCCACACGTGTTGATA